TTTCCCCCCCTGGTTTCATTTGGTAGCAATTTGACTTGGCTGTCAAGGTGAGCCATCTAGGAACCGTGATACAGATACATTGTGCCTAGGACAGTGTTGTCATATCTCTGTTCCACCTTGACAGAATTGGAATGCTCCACCACGCTGCTGAGCTCGGGGATGCTCTCGGCCGTATCCCCGAAACCGTGATAGTGTCCGTAGTGCAGAGTGTCTCCGGGGTCTTCCACCCAGGAGGGCCTGTTGGAGACGCAGCTGCTGGGGCTGCCGTTGAGGTGGAGGGACCCACACATCTCCGTGGGGTTGCCCAGGGGTTTTTCGGGCTCCTCGGGGCCGTTGCTGGCGTGGATTCGATGCCGAGCGGGAGATGTGACTCCGGGAAGGACTCCGTTAGGGGTTAATGTCAAACCCTCCTCAGGCCTGGCATCCATCCCACCGAGCTGCTGGGCGGTGCTGAAATCCAAATGTCCATTGATGGCACATCCATTTGTCAGTGCATTCAATAGGGTGCTACTGCTATTCATATCTGCATTGAGAAATACACCTGTCACCAACAATTGCCAGTAAATGGAAACACAGCAAAACGTCTCCGCTACGCCGAGAGCTGACCACCTCAAATCTACCCAGTCACCCTGAAAATGCAGCTGCCTGGCTACAGGCACTGTGTACACAGGCCTGCATTAAACTTTGCCAAGCCAATGTTTCAGTTGCTCAGGATTTTCTTCCTTTAGCTGCATGAGGTGAAGTGTAGCAGGCGACACTCCGGGCAGTGTTTTGGGAGGTGGAATGAAAAGCATCTGTCCACCTTAACCCCTCTTGGGATGAGAGATTATCTACATACCAGGTATGAGTATCTGTGAGAGGGTGAAGGGTTGGGGGGTTTTAATTTTTCAGCTGTCATTTGTCTGTGGTTCTTTTTTTCTTTTCAGTGGTAACTCTCACAGTACAGTATACACTAAAAGTGGTCAAATAAATGTTCTGTTGGGGTGCTAATATAAAATGTTTCAAAGCTCCTTTATTCAGAAAGTGCTTCAGTTTATCCAGCAGCTTGCTAGATAACATCCTAGGCAGCTGAGTTATAAGTTGCTCATAGCATCTGTACAATCCACATGCAAAATGCCATACAACAGCAACAGCAGAGTGCACAGAACACTGGAAAAAGGATTAGGAGCAGGAAACAAAATTCTAAAACTCGGCATGCAAAACCCACTGACAGCTGTTTTAAAGCAAATTCTCCTTCAAAAGTAGCAATTAGCACAATAGCTTTTATTTCCATAAACAGATCTCAGCAGTATGTCTGAAACTTATTGCAGTGGTACTCAGAGTACTAGCACAGGAGATGGGGGATATATTCTGCCTTAAACATGCCTCCTGGTAAAGGACAGCTCAAATTTACATCTCTGTGGGTAAAGATGAGCAAGGCAAACTGCATGGTGACATTTAAAGAGTCTGCTGTTACTGCTGGCTGCATGCACACACGTTTCTGCACCCATCCATCCATAAACCCACGTGCCAATGAGGATTTCATCTCCTGTGTGCCTCCAACTCAAGCCAGGAAGCTTGAACTGAAGCTGGGGACTTCCCACAGTTGTAGAACACTGAGTTCCTGGTTAAGTGACACGTAATGAGCACCACTGTCTGACAAGGAAGAACCCAAAGTCTTGGTTCTCTGCTAGTCTTTTGCATGTGTTATTTGAAATGTGGGTTATGGGACCGACACTTGGCGTGCAGCGAGACATCCCACCAAGGAATGAGTTGGGTTTGTACCTCCCTGGTTGTGCTAAGAGGAGTCAACTGCATCAGCTGGACTCACTAACCACAAGTTATTATTGAAAACTAAAAACCCAAACCCCTGGAGACGTCCAGGCTAATGTTTCAGTGAGGAAAACACACAGGAGGAATTTCACATCGTGTTTATTCACTGAAAAGTGCAAAATTTTCACTGTTTAAAAAGAAGTCCCTACAGGCTGGCTTTGCCAAGGAAGATTTAATAAATATGGCACTACTGTTAGTTCATATGCAAAAGTAGGTAATGAATAGTTCTAGTAATAATTGTAGAACTTTATTATTTGTTAAAAATTAGCACCTAGAGTCATAGAGTATATTTAGGAAAGACAATCATTTTTCCATAAATAAGAACACTTTCTAATTTTTAAGTACTGATTTTATATATATGTGTGTATATATATATTCCTAATATATTAAAATATCTGTTGATTATAATTCCCTTTGGTGAACCTGCTCTGTGGTACAAAGCACAAACATACTTATCACAGAACAAATGCAAGTCAGAAATGAATTTCTGAATAATGCACTTAGGAAGTCCTTTACCTACAAAGTGCATGGAAAAAGTGGCCCAAGACAGTTTTAATCAAAACCCTCTGCACAACCTGGGCTCACAAAAAAAAAAAAAGCATCTTAAGCAGCCCTTAAAAAAACTTGGAGCATTAATATTCCCTAATACTAGTAATATTTTGACTGTTTCATGAAGATTGGTACAAAACACAATAACTCGATTCCAAGGTACAGTACTTCTAAGTACTAGTTTAAGATCTGTGATGTCCAGTCTTTAATTTCCATTAAAAAAACCCACAGCAGGATCCTGTACTTATGCCACAGTGTCTGAATAAATTCTGAGCACGTGGCACATGCCTATGCCATTTTTTTTTCAGTGTTTGTTGGAGTATTTTGAATACAGCTGCGTTGTAACACACATTATTTTCAAAGTTATATAAGCACTAGGATATGTTTCCCTGTCTAGTCTTATTAAATCTATTTCATGGAAATGAAACCAATAATTTAAATTATTTCTGAATTTTCTTGAACCTGAAATTATAGCCACTGAAAACAAGGCACAAGGTAACACAAGCCTCAGGTTTGAAGTGAACCAGCCATCCTGGATTTCTGTTTATCTGAAATAATCATCCACTGCTCATAAACCTTCTCTTCCACAATTACAATAGATTGTGTGAAACAGCTACTTTTAGATACCTACTAAACCCCCAGCAGAATGGGTGGGACAGCAATACAATAGATTTTCAAGACTAGACAACAATGTGCAAAAATAAAGGACTGGTTTTTAGGCTTAAATTAAAAATAAAATGCGTATTGATTCTTGCAACGACAAGGGGTTTGCATGGCAGAAACAGTGTATATTTCAATTTCTTTTGGTCCAACAGAAGGACTCTCCTGTTGTTTCGTGTCTTCAACCATTTGAGTGTTGTTGTAGCTAACAGGAAACTGTCCACTCCCACCTGATACAACAGCAAACTCTCTATCAACGTGCATATTGTCAGCATCGTCCTCAACGCCTCCGTTCATCATGGGTATTAAGCCATCAAAGCTGTAAGCTGAGAAAAAGAAAAGTTGTGGTTAGTCCCTGCTGCACGCTTCAAAACTCTGCCAAAAACAGATGAGGACTTGGATTATTAAATATAAAAAGCTTTTCACAAAGAAATTGAAATTTGTCTGAAAGCTGACACGTCTGAGATTCCAAATGCAGTGTAAATAAATGCTATCTGCACATTCATTTGAATCCTGCAAAATGGAGGATTACCAGTATACCTATCAGGCTTTGCACCCAAATATCAACCAATTATTAGCCTGACATACTAGTAGATTGAGTAAAGAGCAGTTTAAGTGACTCAGATTTAGGATTTATAGATTTCTAGATATAGATTTGGCCCCTGTCAGCCTGGACTGCTCCCAAGGGGCAGATCCCAGTGACACCAACACCCCTCTCTGGGCAGCCACATGCTCCCAATGCTGCATTATCCAGAGCTGCTTTATCAGGCTGCAGCTCTCACCACCTCAGGCACTACACAAGTTTTCATAAATTGTTTCTCAATAATTGCTCAAGTGTTTCTGGGCTAGAGAGACCCCACAGGGCTTAAAGGAGACCAGGGCCCTTGGATCAGTGGGCTTCAAACCACCCTAAACTAGGAGAAGGCATTTTTTCTAGTTACCTAGGTGTACACCCCCCATGCCCACCTCACAAAGAACACCCCAAAGCAGCTTGTGAGGCTGCCCGTGGTGTGTGGCACATCCAGCAGCACGCTGCCAAACCTGCCCTGCCCAGGGCCACAGGAGACAGGACCAGGGCTGCTGTGAGGGCAGCTCTGGGACCTTGGTCTGCATCACCCTCCACCCACCAGCCCAGGAATGAAATTCCTGGAAAATGGACGTTTTAAAGACAAAATTAAAAGCTATTTGGTGTAAAGGGGCACTGATTGCAGTTCAGCTTCATCTTGGGGACTCATCCCATCTGAAGAGGAGTTATTTGTATGACAGGCTATCGTGCAGCAGTGTTGTTTGGGGCAGGAGGTGTTTTTAAGGCTGTGCAGCCCATGGGAGAGAGGTGTGTGCATGGAAACCACCTCACACCTCAGGAGCTCCCACCCACTGCCCAGTTTGGCTATTCCAAGGCAAAGGGTAGCTCAAGTTTTTCTCTTCTTCCAACTGTGCTTGCTCACCAGAAGCTGGTTTTTTTCAAAGCCCTGATTGTTCTGTTTGGGGTGCAGCCACCAAAACCTGCCTCTTCTCTGCAAACACCACTTCCAAACACAGACTTTGCTCTCTGCAAACATCCGGAATCTCCTGTGCAAACAGTCTTTAAAGGACAATGGATCAGTGGAGCTTTGGTAAGGGTAAAATTACCACAAAATTGGGTTAGTTCTGTAAAAAGTCCAGCTAAGCACCAGGTGACTGTTCACTACTCAGCTCCAGTGCTAACAAATTGCTTGAAGAACAGCAATTCACGCCCATTCCAACAGACTTTCTCAGTTGATCAGTAATTACCAATGCTGGCATCTTCCAGGGCATAGAAGTCAGATTAGAAACTTCAGCTTCTGCAGTTGGGATATTCTCTCTTAAATTACTCTTAAAAAAAACCTTTTGGCTTTGTTTGCAAAGGTCTTAAAGTCATACTGGTAAATTTTGGAAATTTCCTACTCTGCTTCTTTGAAATAGAATCATAGAATTGGTTGGTTGGAAAGGACCTTTAAAATCAAATCCAACCATTGATCCAGCCCTGCCAGGTCACCACTAAACCATCCCCCTCAGCACCACATCCACACTTATTTTAGATACCTCCAGGGATGGTGACTCCACCACTTCCCTGGGCTTGACAACTCACCCTGTGAATAAATATTTCACAATGTCTAATCTAAACCTCCCCTGGTGCGACTTGGTGTTGTCTCCTCTGTAACTGCTTAGATCTCTGATCTAGCTTATCCCCTGGACTAAGTTTATGCTGAAATGCAGTGAAGATGCTGCCATTTCATGGCAACACAGAACAAAAATAGCTATCCAGGGCCATCCCCACATTTTCTCATTCTATGTAGTGACTTCAGGGTGCTATTCCTGTAAAGCAGCCTGGCATTTACCTGCTCACAGGCACTTTTCTCCTGAAACAGCACACCCTGTTTGGGATTTGCTGGGGAGTACCCCACTGGAGGCCCCTGTTCTGGGTATAGTTGGAAAGGTGGCTGGATAGCAAGTACTACAGCAAATACTTCAGTGTGTCAATATTGATTTATCTTGTCCATGTCATGTTTAGAAACATTGGGTGTCAGTTCCTCTCTTGTTATCTGGAACTAAAGCACTGTTTGAGCCCACTCCATTTGGCTCACTGCAAGTTAAAACACTGTAAACTTTTAACTGAAAAAGGCTTCTTCAGTTAAGACCCACAAAATCCCTTTCCTGGTGCTACACAGGAAACAGAAATGAGGTTTGAGTGCAGAATGCTGTGTTCTTTTTAGTAAGAACAAAAAAATCCCTTTGAGGTTGTGCTGTCACATCACTGCTGACAGAGGAAGCAGCAGCTTCCTCAGTGCACGAGGCTGAGCAGTAATCCTCAGGGCTCCTTCTACTCTAACACCCTCTTGCAAGACATCAGCTCCCCTCAGAACACCCTGGAAACTTAAAGTATGGTAACAATGTCACAGACATAATCCCTCTCAATTTGAGAAACCTTTTTGCACTAAATTTCTTCATCTGTCTTATCTAGGGAACGGATTTTGAACTGTGAATTAATCCTGAAGTGGAAAAACCCCATCAGAACATCTGGCATCTTTGTGAATTAACACCACGTTATTTGGCTCTCTTGAAGGAGAAGAAATTGAGGAGGGAGTAGAAGCCAATTTCAGCTCCTACTCCTCCACATATTATTCTTGGCATCATGTAACTTTAGCACTCTCTGGAAATAGAAACTTCTGAACACACCAAGATGATGAGAGGGAAAACTGGGATCTTGTGGCATGGAATAACTGCATTCATCTGCTTCTCGTGGTCTATGAAATTTAGATATGCATGGGAGTTTGTCAATAATAATACTCAACATCCACTCTGGAAGGCTTTAAAATGTTTATTTTCCTTTCTCAGCAACAGCATCACCCCATCCCTTTTACCTCTGGGCTCTCACCTTCTGTTCTAGCCTTCTTCACTCCAGCAGACTCCATATCTTCAAAGGATCTCTTTCGACTTGTCCCACCACTGAATGGATTGGGACCTGCGTTCTGATGAACCCCATTTAAGGTGCCATTGCTATAGAAATGATTCAGGTGACAGTTCTGGAGGTTCAAGAGAAACTGGGCACACTCTTGGAAGCCCTGGGTATGTGCAAGGTCTGCTGCTGTCAGGCCACTGGCATTTCTCAAGCTGTACAACACAAAGAAACTGAATTACACTCATTCATCAGGCCAGCTTGCTGCTGCTGCTGCCCTTACTGACTATCTATCTGTGGGTGATGAGAGAAAACATACACTTAGCAAATCTCCATTAAGAAATTAGTTATCAATCTTAGTTTTATAACTAACTTTTCACACATATATCTGGCTTCTAAGCAAGATTTGGGAGACAATACACTTTAAATTAAAATCAATATACTATGTGCCTTAAAAAAAAAAAAAACCATCTTCCTATTTAAACTTCCCAAAATGCTTTACTCTAAAATAGTCTGAAGTATCTGATCTTTACATAAACTTCAGACTAACTTAAGCCTTGAATTTTCCCATCTTCTGCAGTTTACTCTGCAATCTATTGCTTTAACTTGAGCAAAAGATCAAATACTCAAAACAAACTTAACATGACTTGACAATTGTCCATGGCATTGTGGTTTCTAAAGTAACAACATCATCACTAGTCTTCCTAATGATAAAATATAGACATATATAGAAGAAGATAGATAGGTAAAGATGCTATACTTAAGTTATGCTTTGCTTAGACTTTTTCTTTTTTTCTGGTTTGTTTCTCATTTCAAAGTGTGTGACATCATAAGTGTTGGGACTTGCTTTATTTGAACCAAGACTTTTCCATGCAGGAGGATGGCACTGGGTTTTGAATACTCTAATGACATCAGGCAGCACATTCAGAGGTGCAGGTTTCATTTGAAAGGCTGCTGTACCACGTGCATTTACACAAACATACAGTATGGCTGTGCTTAGAAATACAGGCTAACTTTATAATTAAGTGCATAAAAGAGGAGACAAGAGGGCTAGAAATGACAAACCTAGATTGTGAAGCAAAGGATGCCAATAAATCTTTCCTCAGGTTTTTCCCACCTTTCCAGACAGATCTAAGTAGTCAGAAAACTGAGGTTTTGTTTCTTGGCTTCAGTAGTTTAGACAAGTCCATTACTTAAAAATCCAGAAACAGACCAGCCAACAGAATAAGAAGTCAGAAGATTAATAGACCTGGTTCTGCTGAAACTCAAATGAAGTAGAAAACAACTTGCTGCAGCTCATCCAAAGAAGACAAAGAACAATTTTCAGCTTTACTTCCTAGATCATTGCAACTTCTTTGCTATAAATATGAGACTAAACCAACACTTTAGAAACCATTACAGCGAGACTGAATCCATAAATGGACACAGGTGGATTACACAAAATTCAGAAGTCAAAATACTACCAAATCAAAAAAATCATTAGGCTGGATGAGGGTAATTTCATTTCATACTACAGTATTCTAATTCAGTGTTTACTTGGACTACTTGTGAAAATCCAGAGAACAGCAGCCAAGAGTAGTCTAGAAAGTAAGACTTTAGAAGACTGAAAAGCCTAATTAGTCAAAAGAAATGAAACCTCAAGTAGAGGTATTAGCTTTGAATACCAAAAAGATGGCTGCAAAGAGAATAATCTGCTCTGTGTGCCCAGTGCAGGCAATATATGAATGGCATTAACACAAATAAAGGGTACTTGAAGCTAAAGGGTATTTGCACCATACAGACATAACCAAATACAATGACAACTCAATAGAGAAAATTCAACGTGTCTGTTTTGGTCAAAAACAGCTCAGTTGTCTGAAATAGGTTTTAAATTTGCAAGCCCCAAAAGGACAGTAAAGGAAATATAGACAAGAGCAAATTAAAGTCATGCAAAGATTAAAATGACCAAAATGACATGGTGTGACCACCTGATTTAAGAAAACTTGGAGAAGTGAACTTAGAAAATGTTACTGAATAACTCTGCTTTAAAGAATGTGCTGTAAGACAGGCTACAAGTTGTCATTCCCCAAAGGAATGTCAACCTAAGCTGCCAGAGGCATTTGGAGAGGTACAAACTAAGAGCAAGTGTGTAAGGTTTCATGACCAATCTCTGGGAAACAGAAGTTAAGTTTCCCAGAATCAAAATAAATTATATTTAAGTTAGTGTTTGTCAGATTTTAAAATATAATGACCTTTGATATTTTTAGATCTGCCACCTTTCCCATCTTTTCCTGGACAGCCTACTCTGAGCTGGTAGACAAAGATGTACTTGTTCTACATGAGTATTTTGACAGTACTGAATAGGTTTTCAAGGGACTCAAGCACATTGGACGTAACATTCTTGCTTCTGAGCTTAGGAATGTCTCTCTTGAAACTCTGGGTCTGAATTTAGCCTATCAATTTCAAGAAAACATCAAACGTTCAGAAGCTAGTACTGAAAATGAGAGAAAAAAAATCAAATCAAATCAAAGGAGATTACAGCTTGAGAAAATTACTTTAGAAACTGGCTGTCCAACTGCTAGAAAAGAAAACACAACTGTTAAGTTCTCTCTGCTCGCTCTCAGTGGGAACAGAATTAATATATCTTTTCTATATCCAGTTGCCAATTTCCATTAATTTAATCAAAGCTCAATTATACTAGGCCTTTCAAATCCTTTGACATTTCAGTTAAACTGGCCTGCATTCCAGTGTTTAATGGGAAGGAGAAAAGGAGAAGCTGACAAAATTGGCAGGAACAAGATCTTAAGTCTCTCAAAAACAAGGTAGAAAGACAAAAAAAAAGACCTATTTCTTTAAGCTGATTTTTCTAGCTGTCTCTAGGCAGAAAAAAATCTGTCAGTGGGAATACAAAAAGCAGCAAGAGCTAGCTATGCTGTAGTAGCTCACCATAAAACCCAAGAAAACACAGCTAACTCAATTACCCATATGCTCAAAGTAGGAAAGAGAATATTTCTAACAGGTATCAGGGGTTTTACCAGACTGGAAGAGTTTTACATATTTCCAAGGTATGTAGAAATACTGCCAAAACTGTGAGGATTCTGAGTGTGTAGCAGAAAAACACAGCCCTATACAGTCCTTCTGGAAACCCTTGAGTACTTGAATGAGTTAGAAAGCCAGATCTGCTGGACCCTTCTTTACAAGCACTAAGCTGAACTTGGAGGGGAACTACCCTGTTAGAGCAGCAGCCAAATGGATTGGGAATACATCTGTTACTGAATCCCCACTGTCTGGTCTACTTCAGATGCTGCCCAAGTATGAAAATGCAGCAGCTACCTCAGCTTAGTCCACGAGCTAAGAACCTAAGAGTCATTCTGTATGCAGACTCCATTATTAGACTCAAAGTCGTAATTACTGTATTTAGGTAAATTTTTAATTACTTCAGTTATTAGAGATGTCCCTTGAAAGGTATTTTTTCCAATTTTTCACAGCTGACTATATAAAGAAAAAGGAGGTGATTTGGTAAAGGATATTATATCTGACAGTAACTTCAAGACTTGGGCTATGAAGGAAAAGCAGTGGCAAAAAAAAAAGTAAACTGTTAGACATGGACAGAAATACATCAAAATTTCGTGTCTCTTGAAATAAAAAGCTTTCCACCCATCCAGTTTTGATCTTTTACCCTAAACATCCTGAAATAGAGGAAGCTGCAAAGCTCAGAACACACTGTTGGAAATTAAATCTTCAGGCAGGCTGCCCTTTTGTTACTGCTAACCAGGCAGCAAACACGAGAGCTCTATTTCTGTAACTGCATTACTCAGAATTTAAAAATGAGTACTAAAGTTTCCTGCAGGTTCTGTGGGTGGGTTTTTATTTGGGTTGGGGTGTTTTTTTCCTATTTTTTTTTAATATTATTTTTTATTTTGTTTTTTTCTCCCCAAAGATGCCACACTTAAGGACAAGCTTATGTTCCTTTTCAGAGTTTTTCTGTAAGGTGGGCTACCTAGCTGAAACAAGACTAGGCAAATTATAGGCTATACAGATTGGTATTTTTCAAAGATGATCTTCTGAGGGAAGAAGCTACCAGTAAGGAAGGTATGGAAGGATGGAAGAAAGTCTTATCATAGAAAAGAAAATGAGGCTAAACCTTGAGACACCAAAACCATTTCCTCATTAGCCAGTCTTTCATTAAATAGCACTCAATGACTTGGTGCAGTGTTTTCTAAAGGCTGGCCTAGTTACTGTCAAAACAGACAGCTGTGCTCCAAAGCCTTAAATCCCCTCTCTCCCCAGTAAAAAAGACACAGTGAAAAACTGAAGACATCTCTGAGGGAGGTGAGTCCAGTTCCAGGAGCAGGCAGGAAAACTGAAAAAAAAGACACCAAAACCCAAGCTCTGAAAATACAATTCCCCTTTTGGCACCTGCTCTGGACAGGAACACATCAGGGCTTGACCTGACAAATGGGAGAAAATGTCCTTACTTCACTGTGTGGACTAAATGCACTTTTGGTTAAGTGGTTAGAAATTCAATTCACTCTACACTTCAAAAACACAAACCTTGCACCATTTCCAAAGCATATCAAGTGTTTGAAAAACAACTGAGTCCTTTTAAGCTTCTTTCACTTGACAGTATTTTTATGCTTTATAGTTTATTTATTATTTTCATGTAATTCTTATCACTAGAAACAAATTAGAATCATGAAGAACAAATTAGAACCCACTAGTATCATGAATCATGGTACTATCACCCCCAGCCTTCTTGCAGGCTAAAAATCCAGGAGCTGGGAAGGATGAAGACATCCTGTTTTCCTCAAAGTATGGAAGTATGAGATGCAAACTCCAAAGCTAAAGACGACAGACAAACACAACTGGAAAGAGATGTTTTTGTATTATAAAGTTATTCTAAAATAGAAAAAAAAAAACATGATAAAAAGTCAAGGAAAGTCTGGATATGGATATGTGGGAGCCTGTGATCTTGAATTTCCTTGACTGATTACATTTAATACCTGAATTGTAGTAGTGGCAGATGTTTTATAAATAAACTCAGAATGTGCACTGTTATATATTAAAGCTCTGACTTTTGTGTTTACATTTATTCACACAGCTTCTCCAGTGCAACACATTTTTCTTCTTCCATCAAGCGATGTCCACAGGCAGTCTTCAAAACTGACTAATCTTGGCATGAAGAAGACTTTTTGGGGTTTTTAAATATTTTTCTCCCTTTGGTTGAAATCATCAG